GCTCCCCGCTTATGCAAATGAAGCCCGGGAAATTCAAATCCCGGGCTTCATTTGCAAGTGCGGTATGCCTACATTACCCCGCTAGTTCGAACTAGCGGGGTAGTGTAGACATACCCTAAGAGGCTATGCCAGCTATACCATCTTTACAACTGAAATTGCCAGAGAAACTGTGGATAGGTACTTTGTGCAACCTCAGAAATGGTCACCTGTTACATCCTCAGAAATGACAAAAAAATAAATGACATTTTAGCATATTTGGAAGTTTTAAGGAGGACTGAAATGGAAAGAAAATCTAAAATGAAGAAGAGATGACAAATCATAGTCCTCTAAAAGAATAAATCAAACACAGAAAACATGTATTGAACAACCTGGAAGCATATTTTACATGCAAAAAACCCTGCTAATTAAAAGGACTGCTCTTAATATCAGCATATAAAGGGTCTTTGGAGGACATCAACCCATTTTTTTTAAATGGGTCTTTCAAAATAGTTCAACACAGTATTTAGTCACCACCTAAATTGCAGTGTTTACTACAGGTTGGACACCTCCCTTGTCCAGCACCCTCGGACCCAAAAAAGGAAATATGCCAGACAAGAGGAGGTCCTTCCCAACATGATCCATGCTGCCCTGCTGCTACCTACACGGCTGTGGTCCCCCAAGCTGGAGCTCCATGGTTGCCACCAGGGCCATAGCTGCCGCTGCCAGCCCCCAACCTCCATGGCCAGGGCTGGAGCTCCATGGCTGCCACTGCCAGCCCTCGAGCGCTGTGACCAGAGCTTTGTGGCTGCCGGCCCCTTGCTATTGTCCAGCCACAGGGGCTGGAGCTCTCTGCTGTTCTTCCACCCCTCCCCCCTCACACAGGGCTCCCAGCTAAGTTGACACGCCCCTCCTCACTCCTGTCCCACAGCCTGACCTCCCTATAACCTGAGCTCTGTGGTCCTGCAGAACCACAGATACTGTGGACCACAGTCCTGGTTAAAGGAAGTACAACCTGTACAAAGCAAACCAGAAAATTCTGTGGTTCAAACTATTGGACACTCCAGTGTATAAGCTATAATGTGTCATGTGCATGGAAAGTTGAATAAAAACTGTCAAAATTATCAGTTTAATAAAGGACAAAATAAGTTATGTACAATGAGCTAAAATTAAACTATTTTAATATACCAGCTAGTTTTACAATTATCACTTAATAATTGAGAAGAACGAATCTCAAACTAAAAACAGTAGTTGACAAACTACTACTTGTTAGGAATTTTTTGGGAATCATGACTAATTACCAAACTCTTTGCCTTGCAAAATTGCATCACATCATGAGTTTGATACAACACCAGATACATTTTGATATGCTTTGAATATTTCGGTAGCAAAAAAAAAAAAAAAAACCCTTTATGCACAAATCATTTGGAACATTGAAATTAGATATGAAAAGTTGATTTGGACCACATTGATTCTTTGTTCTTTTTTGTTCATCTGTCCACTTCCCTTTTTCCCCCCTTGAGT